TGAGAAAAAATTAAAGGACTAATATCGTTGATCTTGGCTATGGTCCATCCTAATGCAGATTTGTGTTCATTCAAAATGTTTAATTGTTTACATTGTAATGCATCCAATTCTGATGAAATAATGATAGGAAAGGTATCACCTGATCTAAGGAACACATGTTTCAACCCTATAGAAAGTTGTTTCAATTCTGGTCTAGGGCTTTCAATACTTGATGGTTTCTGTCCTCTAGTCCTTTTCGACAATTCCTCAAATTTGGGTTGCCATGGTGAAGTCCCATGGTCCTGCAATTTTGCAAAAATAGCACAAATGTTGGCATACTTATCAACATCAAAATCGTATGAAATTTTAGAATTTAGGAGAAAAGAGTTCAAAGGATAATTTTTTTACATTGTAATGCATCCAATTCTGATGAAATAATGATAGGAAAGGTATCACCTGATCTAAGGAACACATGTTTCAGCCCTATAGAAAGTTGTTTCAATTCTGGTCTAGGGCTTTCAATACTTGATGGTTTCTGTCCTCTAGTCCTTTTCGACAATTCCTCAAATTTGGGTTGCCATGGTGAAGTCCCATGGTCCTGCAATTTTCCAAAAATAGCACAAATGTTGGCATACTTATCAACATCAAAATCGTATGAAATTTTAGAATTTAGGAGAAAAGAGTTCAAAGGATCAGAATCAATTATTCTGGATGCTTTCTCCTGAGTGAATACATCAATCATGTAGGTTTGATGGCATTCATCATCTTCTGTAGGTTTTTTGGTGACATGGAAAATATTGATAAGAGCATCATATTTCCAAATGTTAGCTTCATCAAACTATTCCTGCAATTGATAAGAGCGTTAGCTATAGCTAGGAAAGGTCCACCAAGTATAATAGGGATTTTAGAATTAACACCCACCTCAAACTTCACATATAATACCAAGAAATCAATGGGGTAGTAAAATTTATCATCCTGAACTAACACATCCTCAACTATTCCCCTTGGTTGTATGGTGGACTGGTCGGCTAATTGTAGAACCACTGAGGTGGGTTTCATCTCTCCTAGACCTAACAACAAGTATATAGCATAGGGCATAAGGTTGACACTAGCTCCTAAATCAAGAAGGGCTTGTGCAAACACACGATTCCCAATGACACAAGAAATGGTAGGACAACCAAGTTCCTTATACTTTGGTGGGATCCTTTGTTCTATCACAGCACTCACTTGCTCGGTTAAGAAGGCACTTTTTTTGATATGATGCTTCCTTTTTATAGTGCATAAGTCCTTAAGGACTTTAGCATATGTAGGAACTTGAGAGATCACATGCAAGAGAGGCAAATTGATTTTGACTTGTCTAAGGTGTTCTAGGATTTCATTATGCTGACTTGTTGATTTTGATGTGGACTTGAGAGCTTGAGGGAAAGGTATTCTAGCTAGGTTTTCCACTACTTCCTCATTAGGATTGCTCTCATTAGGCTCACTTGGCTCTTTTTTGTTATCTCTAGGTGGAGGGGTTGGTTCTACAACCTTCCTTGATCTAGTGGTTATGGCATTCACCTCCTTAAATTTGGTCTCTTCGGATCTTGAGGTTTGTGCCATGTGCTACCCTTTTGGGTTTGGTTGAGCTTGAGCTAGAAATTTCCCACGTTCCCCTACAACTAAGGCATTGGTTAACTTAGATATATGATTCTTTATCTCTTTGTTTTCCTCGACTACTTCTACTTGGGCAATCATAGTCTCAAATTTTTTATTTGTCTTGCCTTGTGCCTCGATGAATGCATGTAAGGTGTCTTCTAAGGAATTCCTAGAGGACATGAGTTGATGTGGGGGTGCATTGTAAGCTCAAGTTTGTTGGGTATGTTGTTGGTTCTCAGACTTCCAGCTAAAATTGGGATGATTTCGCCACCCTGGGTTATAAGTCTCGGAGAAAGGGGCGTAGGGCTTTTGATATATGCCTAAAGTATTACAGTGCTCCTCATAAAGTCCCCCCATCTCAGCATAAGTAGCACACTCTTGTGCTGGATGATCCATGACACCACACACAAAACAAAATCCTTCAGACTCAACACGAGAAACAACATGTGTAGGTTTTAAATCCTTAGCACGTAGGGCTTCTAATTCTCTAGTGAGGCTTTCTACCTTGGCTCTAAGGTTGTCTTCCTCCCTAAGGTGATAAGTGCCTGTGCTAGTAGGGTTTCCCTGAGGTCATGACCTGTTGGTGCTATTGGAGGCAGTAGGTCCAGTCCAAGTGCAAGCCTTTTTAGCTAAATCATCTAGATACTCTATGGCTTCATCCGGGTCTTTTTGTAAGAAGTCTCCATTACACATCATTTCTACAAATTGACGCTCCCTAGGTATTAAACCCTTATAAAAGTAACTCACAACACGCCAACTTTCATAACCGTGGTGGGGGCAAAGGGCTTGCAATCCTTTGTATCTTTCCCATGCTTGATATAAAGTTTTGTTATCCTTTTGGACAAAAGAAGAAATTTATTTTTTAAAGCAGTTGTTTTATAATGGGGGAAGTATTTGCCAAAGAATACTTGGGTTATTTCAGTCCAAGTCCCAATCGAACGTGGTCGCAGTGAATATAGCTAGCTTTTTGCTCGTTCTTTGAGTGAAAATGGGAAAAATTTTAACCTGACTGCATCCAATGTACCATGTTGACTATAGAAGGTTGCCACTACCTCCTCAAACTCGCTAATATGCACGTATGGATTTTTACTTTCAAGACCATAAAAATTGGGAAGAAGTTGAATCATTCCCAATTTTAGGTATATACGTGGCATGTTAGGTGAAAACATGATACATGACGATGTAGATGTGCGTGTGGGGTGAAGATAATGTAAGGTCCTATAGGGTGCATCACCGTGCTCACTATCAGCATTGTGTTGTGTAGTGTGATATTCGTGCCAATAGACGTAGTATCAAAAAGAGGGTTAGAAAGTGTTTCAAACACTGGTTGAGGCATCGCAATAAATTGCCCTCGTTCGTCTTGAAGCTTGTTCATAAAACACAAAAAAAAATTGAAACTAAATGAGAAATAATGAAGAAAATAAACTAAATTAACTAAAAGAATGTAAAAAAAAAAGGAACGAAGTCACCCTTTTGCTCAAGAATCCTTCAAGTATTTGTAACGTCTCCCCGGTAGTCGCGCCAAAATTTGATTACGCCCAAAGTGTAACGCGGTAATTATAGTATAGCTTCGAGGTGTCATATCCACTGGGAGATGGGAAAATAGTTCAAAGGTTCAAAAGCTAGGGTTTCTCATTATGAATTTCTATGAAAATAATGTACCAATTTGAAATGTGTTCAAATGTTAATATGTAAATTTACGAGATTTGAATCAAAGTATAAAATAGTGAAGAGTCGGGATTCCCTCGATTGGTTCAGATCATTCAATATCAATCATGCATTCATGTACTCAATTAAAGATTTTTTTATCAAACTTTAATTGGGGAATATAACTTTAAGGCCCAATTTTATTCTACAGTAATTCTAAAATATGGAGTTCCTATAACATATACCCGCTTTAATCTATTGAAATCAGATTCTAAATCCACCTTATACATCAAGCATAAAATTATAGAAAATCACACCAATAGATAGTTGAAATTGAAATTTGACAATTAGGTTAATTTCACGATAGATAAAACATGATTAAATCTATGCGAAATATAGTAGAAGTTAAATCGATCTCACAACAATGCCTGAAATTGAAATTCAATACATACTTCAATTATTCGATGGAATAAACATGATTAAATCCATGCAAAACTAATATTTATTAAACCAATCTCAAAACATATTTATAAGAATAAGAAATCTAAATTTAGAATTGTTTAGCAATGGAAATCATATTACAAGCATGAGAAACATTGAAATAATCTATACCAATCGAGTTCCTCCCTTGCTTCACCAAGGATTTCTAGCCTTCCATGGAGTTTCTTTACCCAAGATGAGAGAAAATTGATGTGGAGAGGAAGAATAGCGTTCTGGGTCGAGATTAGGGCTTAAAAATGTATGCCAAACAAATCTCTATAAGTGTTAAAAATAGGAATTTGGGATTTTTCCCTCGAAAAATATCCATGTGGCCGCGTGGTAATAAGCCATGCGACCGCATGGTTCAACTAAAATGGCCCCAAAAATTCTCGAAAGGTAGCCATGCGACCGCATGGTTGTCACCATTTCCTCCGTTGGACAGCTTCCAGTATTTTGGCCATAATTTTCCCTTCCATTGTTCGATTGAGGTGATTCAAGTTGCATTGGAAAATTACTCAAAGGACTACAACTTCTTTTCAGATGTAATCTTCCAATTCTATCGTTTGTCATGTCAAATATGGGTCCCAATATGAGGCTAAAAATGGTGCCCAACTTTTTTCGATTGGAAATTGATGTGTGATCAAACTTTGACGGTATTTCATCCCTTTGACTTCTTTTCTCATCCACTTGACCTCTAACACTTTCGAATCATCTTCATAAGGTTAGAGACATGTTTGGAGTATTTGTACTTTAGTCCCCAAACTTTCATTTTCTTCCACTCTGGTCTTTTTTGCTCTTTTCTTCTATCTTCCACCTATTCTACCAAAATACAACCTGAATCAAAACATAAGTATAGTGAGTACATTTTGGTATCAAATAATCATATGAATGCAATAATTAAGAGGGGAAACTATCATATTTTACACTATTATCAAAACACGCCAATGAACTAAATGCATGAGAAATTTTAGTCAAATTTGATTGAAAATGCACCAATGAACAAAACTCAGATGAAAATTTTAATAAAATTTGATTAGAAATAGGCTAATGAACAAAACCAGGTGAGAATTTGGTCAAATTTGGTTGAAAACTCCCCAATGAACTAAACCCATGTGAAATTCTAGTCAAGTTTGATGGGAAGCGCACCAATAAACAAAATTCAGATGAAATTTTACTCAAATTTGATTGAAAATGTGCCATTTCACAAAACTCAGATGAAATTTTAGTCATTTTGCTTGGAAGCACACCAATGAACAAAATCCAGACAAAACTTGAGTCAAATTTGATTGGAAATGCGCCAAAGAACTAAACCCATGTGAAATTTTAGTAAAGTTCGATAGGAAACGCACCAATGATAAAACTCAACTGAAAATTTAGTCAAATTTGATTACAAACATGCCAATAAACTAAACCTAGGTGAAATTTTAGTCAAATTTGATTGGAAACCTGCCGATGAACAAAACGTCAACGAAATTTTTGTCAATTTTTTTTTTGAAAACACGTCAATAAACTAAACCTAGGTGAAATTTTAGTCAAATTTGATTGGAAACCTGCCGATGAACAAAACGTCAACGAAATTTTTGTCAATTTTTTTTTTGAAAACACGTCAATAAACTAAACCTAAGTGGAATTTTTGTCATATTTGACTGGAAACCCGCTAATGAATAAAATCAAATTTAATTTGGGTCAAATTTGATTGGAAACACGCCAATGAACTAAACTCATGAGAAATTTTAGTCAAATTTGATTGGAAACCTATCGATGAACAAAACACAGATGAAATTTTTGTCAAATTTGATTGGAAACGCGCCAATGAGCCAAACTCAGTGAAATTTTAATCAAATTTGATTATAAATAGGCCAATGAACAAAACCAGGTGAAATTCTAGTCAAATTTGGTTAGAAACAGGCCAATGAGCTAAACCCATATGAAATTTTAGTCAAATTTGATTGGAAGTGCACCAATGAACAAAATTCAGAAGAAAAATTACTTAAATTTGATTGAAAACGCACCATTTAACAAAACTCAGCCGAAATTGCAGTCATATTTACTTTGAAGCACGCCAATGAACAAAATCTAGATGAAATTAGTCAAATTTCGTTGGAAACGCGCCAAAATGCTAAACCCATGTGAAATTTTAGTAACATTTGATTCGAAACGCACCAACGATAAAACTCAATTGAAAATTTAGTCAAATTTGATTACAAGCACGCCAATAAACTAAACCCAGGTGAATTTTAGTCAAATTTGATTTGAAACCTATTGATGAACAAAACGCCGATGAAATTTTTGCCAAATTTTATTCAAAACGCTCTAATGAACAAAACCTAAGCAGAATTTTAGTCATATTTGATTGGAAACTAGCTAATGAACAAAATCAAATTTAAATTTGGCTCAAATTTGGTTGGAAAGGTGCCAATGAACTAAACACATGAGAAATTTTAGTCAAATTTGATTGGAAACCCACCGATTAACAAAACGCAAATGAATTTTTTGTCAAATTTAATTGGAAACGCGCCGATGAACCAAACACAGGTAAAATTTCAGTCAAATTTGATTAGAAACAGGCCAATGAATAAAACCAGGTGAAAGTTTAGTTAATTTTGGCTGGAAACGCGCCAATAAATAAAACCCATGTGAAATTTTAGTCAAATTTGATTGGAAGCGCACCAATGAACAAAATCCAGAAGAAAATTTACTCAAATTTGATTGAAAACGTGCCATTTAACAAAACTCAGATGAAATTGTAGTTATATTTACTTTGAAGCGCGCCAATGAATAAAATCCAGACGAAATTTTAGTCAAATTTCATTGGAAACACGCCAAAGTACTAAACC